TATTAACTGGAAGGCTCGACACCTATCTGCGCGGTTTTCTGGTCTTTCACCATGGACACTCAGGCCAACTTATCAAGGTCATCTACACCCCATATTTGGACTTACTAACGTATTTACCCCTTTTATAATTCCACAGCTCTTTTACAATGAAACCTTTCTCAATGTAAACATTTAACACTCATGCCAAGATGTACAATAATGAATAAAGATTTAAATGAGCATATGATGCAATAGGTAATAACTCATAACAATTCCACATCTTTCCTTCTTTCAATGCCATCATCGCGAAATAAGCACATATTCACCTTATGTTATCAACACATAATCATAACTTCCCAACATACTCTTTTCTTAACATTATAGTCCTTTCAAAAATCCATATTAAATTTTCAAACATCAACTATCAAGACTTCAATTCTCATAATCCATGGAACTCATTACTTATCATCTCACAACATCACAAGTTCAAGTGTTAATAACAATATTAAAATAACATCTCATTCTCATACATCAATTACATAGCTATCTTGTTGAACATTTGATAAAACTCGCTCTTATTCATCCTCTTAATCATAAGCAAATAAAGAATTTCAAGGACATTTCCCATTTTACCAAAATCCCCAAATTTCTAGGGTTTTCATTAAAAACAAATCTCCATCATTTTTTTTTTTCAAGAAAACTCCATCAAAATCATCTGTCATGTGTCAAATAGAGGAAAACTCCCAAGAAGTAGAAACTAGGTTTGAGATACAAAATCCATAGTCAAAATTCCTACATTTTGAATCAAAAATTAAAATTTAACACAAAACTTCAAGAATACTTTTAAATCAAAACCATATAGCAAAACTTGTATATATAATTCAAGAAATCCCTACCTCAAAGATAAATGAAGACGGATATGAAACCCTAGCCCCAAGGATGATCCTTCAACTTCCACTACACCAAGAAGAGCCCCCCCTCCAAGCTTGATCTTCAAGATTAGAGGATAAGGATGATGATCTAAACTTAAGGGATTACAAGAATCAAAGTGTTTTTAATGTTTGGGAGATGATTTCTAGAGAGAAGAATGAGAGAAATTAGGTTTTCGAGTGAGAAAAATAAGCCCCAAATGATATACACTTCGGCTAAAAAGGGAATTAAAAAACAGAGATCTGGACTGCCCGTCTACCGCACGTGCGGCGCCCCCTCCCCGCACGTGCGGAGCGCCCCTCTCGCATGTGCGGCCTTCATCCCCGCATGTGCGGGGCTCCTCTCCCGTACCTCTCTCTGCTCGTGCTTATTAGACAGAATGCACTCAACTAAGCTTCCCCTCTTCCTGCACGTACAGCTTGGCCTCCCGCACGTGCGGCCCCCTTTCCGCACGTGCGGCCTAGGGCCTCGCACATGCGGCCCTAGCCCAGCAACCCAGAAAATTTCTACTTCGCTCCGGGGCACTCCGGACTTGACCTTACGCTCCCCGGAAATGAAGAAACCTCAGCACCGAATAAAACAAGAACAAGGATTTAGTTCGGGAACAACTTCTGAACGCCTTGAGCTCAATGAGAGCGAGAAGGGAACGCAAATAAAAAAAAAAAACGTAAAAGAAAGGGGAAACAAGACTCAGTCATCATAACAATACTGCAATATTAAATGGTAACATAAGATTTATATAGTGAAACAACTCATTTTTTCTCATTTTTCTGATGTGGGATTGTAAAATAAAAGTTAACAGTTGTTTGGATGGGAGCAATCTTAATCGTTCAATTTTTAATAAGGCCAATTTTAGTTTATTTCAAATTAAACAAATCTAGGCAATATATTTGGATAAAACAGTTAAAACCGCGGTTAAATTAGTGAATTAGACAAGTTGAAAATGATTCAACCTAATCGGTTAAGTCAAAAGACCAACCAATTTACAACAAAATTAATTAATTAAAATTTTTAAATTTTATTTTTAAATTTAAACCATCTTGAACCGAAGCATGCACAATACTACTATATTAAATGGAAGTATAAGATTCACTTTATATAGTAAGTGAAACAATTCACTTTTTCTTTCTTTTATCGATGTGAGATTGTAATTATTTTAATTATGCGAGTTTCAAAATCTCATACAAAATTATTTTAAAAATCAAAACCTCTATGTGAGATTGTAAAATAAAAATTAAATGGAAGCTAGCCAATGGAGATTTTCTTAATTTTAAAAATCTCATTTTGTTTATATAAATGAGAGTATAAGATTTACTTTATGTAAGTAAAACAATTCAATTTTTTTCTTCTTTTCCCGGTATGAGATTGTAAAATAAAAGTTAAATGAAAACTAGCCAATGGGGATTTTTTAAATTGTTTAAAATTAAGAACATCAGTGATTCATACACCCAGTGGGGGTCGACCCCCAGTGAGGTGGCGACCCCCTATTCGCTGAAAACACAAAAAAAAAAAAAAAAAAAAACTGTTTTTTTTGGGCCAATCCCGGAGTGACACCTCACTGGGGGTCGACCCCCAGTGGGGGTAGGAAGCATTTTTGAATTAAGAAAATTCAATAATTTATATAAATGGTAGCATAAGATTCACTTTATGTAAACGAAACAATTCACTTTTTTCTCTTTTTCCTGATGTGGGATTGTAAAATAAAAGATAAATTGAAACTAGTCAATGAGAATTTTTTTAATTGTTTAAAATTAAGAAAATTCAATAATTTTGGAATGAGGGTTTGAAACTTTTAGAAGGCTTTTTTTTCTCAAAACCCCTTTTATAAGATTAACTTTAAATAAGTAAAATAACTCACTTTTTATTTTTTTTCTTGATGTGAGATTGTAAAATAAAAATTAACAATTGTTTGTGCAAGAAGTTTATCTCTAATAAAGCAATCTCAGTTCTTTGGTTTATTTCAAATCAAATAAATCTAATCAATATATTTTGATAAAATCGCTAAAATCACGGTTAAATTAGCAAATCATTCAAATCAAAAGCAATTTAGCTTAATCAATTAGGTCAAAAGACTAACCAGTGTATACAAAACTTAATTAATTAAAATTTTTAAATTTTATTTTATTCAAATTTAAACTGTCACTAAATATGGAAAACATTCTATTAATTTACATTTAAAATTAACACATAAATTTAAAATTATAATAATCTATCCCATGATTTATAAGTTTTATATACAAATTTAAAATTATCATAATTATCTCATAATTTTTGTATTAAGGAGCAGCAAGAGTGGCGTTTACAAAAGAATACTTTAAATGAGAGATATTATGAGAGTTTCAAAGCCTCATACTAAATTATTTTTAAAATCAAAACATCTATGTGGGATTGTAAAATAAAAGTTAAATGAAATCTAGTCAATGAGAATTTTCTTAATTGTTTAAAATTAAGAAAATCAAAAAAATTTGTATGAGATATGGATCATAAGGCTTTTCACTAAAAATCTCATTTTACTTATATAAATGGGAATATAAGATTCACTTTATGTAAGTGAAACAATTCACTTTTTCTTTATTTTTTTTGATGTGGGATTGTAAACTAAAAGATAAATGGAAGCTAGCCAATAGGAATTTTCTTAATTTTTTAAAATTAATAAAATTCAATAATTTTAGAATGAATGTTTGAAACTCCTAGAAGGTTTCTCCCTACAAGTCCCATTTTTCTTATATAATATATAGATTTTGAATGATCTAAATAAGTATACTTTTTGACTTTTTACAAAAATATGTACAAAAAAAAAGAGGTGATGTGACTCAAATAAGTAGAATTATCTAAATAAGTGCACTTATATAGTGTATGCCAAGAGGTTAAGAAAAATTTAGAATTGAAACTTCTTTTGTGTTATTTTCAAAAAAAGAGGAGTGTATGGTCGAAGCTTTTCTCGATGAGGTAAGTTGGCCGGTGGTGGTGGAGACATGGAGTGATTATAACTTATTTTAATTTGAGAATCAATGCTAGACTGTTTGGCGTAGCTTCTGCTTATAGCTTTTTAGGTAAAAATAACTTAAATAAGCTTAGAAAAATTGATTATTTAGAAATTGGGAAAGGGGTGCTTTCGGCTTCTACTTTCTGATTATCAACTTTTAACTTACAATAAGTTGTACCAAACAATACCATAGTGGGTTGAGGTGGTGGTGTAACGGTGGAGCAAAGTGGGGTGTTTGGCCAACAAAAAAGTAAGGGAAAATGAGAGAAAGGTAGAAAGAAGTTAGAGAGGCGAAGAACGAAGACAAAATGAAATAAAAATCTGCATTTTTATTTGTTTGTTTGTTTGTTTTTTTTTTTTTGAGTTGAAAGGTGGTGTTTGGTCACACCTACAATCAAGTTTGTAACTGGGTTTAGATATCGAAAGTGAAGTTTAACTTAGGGGCGGGTTTGACTCTAGATAAATGTTGGGCATATTATGGTCCGTTCGTTTTGGGTTATAAGAAATGAGATTAAATTATGATGGATGTGGGGTCCACTAATATTATGTTTATTTATAAAATGGGCAGATTCACAATATCTTGAGACTATGATAAGTCTTCATGGATGGGATTAGTAATTTTTCCTATGGATGCTGGTATTAGAAAAACAATCCCTTAGGATTAGAGGCGGATTTATTATTTTGCCTTCTATTATCTTACCTAATTTACTTACTCTACTTGATTAGTATGGTTTTTTTTTTACTATTTTTTTAATTATTCCACTATTTTTTACTCCACCTTTTTTATATCAAAATAATTTAATATAAAAATAATTTTTAATATAAAAATATAATAGTATAATAATATTTATACCAAAAAAAAAATATATTAAAAAAATAAAATAGTACCAAATATATATATATATGAAATATAATTTTCAATATTAACATATAATTTAATATTTATAAAATATATTTTTAATATTAAAATATATAATACATTTATTAGTTGATATAAGTTCAAATTTAATAGTAATGTAACATGAATATTTATAAAATTTTACATAATTAATCTCACCCTCTCAAAACAAACAAAAATTATTCTTAATCTACTATTTATCAAACAAACATAATTTCTTTTAATCGCTTTACTGACAATAGCAGTCAACCTACCTGTGAAAACTAACCTGCCGTATATATATTTCCTCTTCTATTCATTATTACAATTTGCAAGATCTGCAGATGTAGGTGAGCAAAAAGCTAAGATGTAGGTGAGCTATTCTTTGCCTAAACTATTGTTGTTTGATCTCATCCTTCCGTTTAAACAAACCACTATAAACTTTTACATCAAAACTTTGATTGATTAGTTATTGTTTCATTTCTCGTTCTTTATGGGTTGATCATGTTCTGTTTCAATTTGATAAATATACTATGCAAAAGCTAATAGTTTTCATTTTTTTATTGTTAAGGTTTGGTAAGGCATTAAGCTATGCAAAGCTGAAGACAATTGATTTGGAAATTCTAGTGAATCTTGCTGGTGACAAGGAAAGATATTTAAACTCTCGCATGGTGCTAAAATCTTGGGATCTTAGAGGTATCTCTTTTTATTTTGCGGACTTATTTATTTAAATTATGTGCTCTTTAAGTTTCTGCGAATATTTTTGTAGATCTTCTTGGCTTCAAGACAGGATTAAAGCAAAGTGTTGCCTCCTTCATGATTTTTTCGTGTTTTTGCAGAATTTTCTTTTCTGTACACCCTTCATTCAAAGTTGAATATCTCTATCTTACCAGGACTTCGGATTGAGTAAGATTGATGGTGTTGGAATTTTATCCTTCATATCTAGATGAGTTATTCCTGACATCGTTTGAGAGGTAAAAATCTACCTAAGTTCCTTTTCTTTTTCAAATCAAGCTCTTTGAATCATAAATTTAGGTATGAATTTAAAAAAAGAAAAAAGGAAAAAAAGAAGAAGAAGGGAAATAGTGAGAACATTGTTAATAAAAATATAATTTTTTTTTTCATTTCTCTTTTATTTTCAAATTTCTATTGAAATCTATATCCAAATACAATGTTATTTCCTTGTGTCAAATTTGCATTAATTTGACGAAAGCTATGTTAGTATTATGTTACATTGACGGTATGAATATGAGCGTAGTTGTGTGTCCTGGACCCAATAATAATATATACTCAATATTTTATTGAGAAATTTATTAGGAAATCTTATTAAGTATTTGTATCTGAATTAATACATAATATATTCTTGTATTTTAAGTCTAATTATTTAGACATTTGATTCACTTAATTCTAATTCTCATATTTAAGGTATTTTTTTGAGCAGTTGTACACTCACAAATATTTTTTGAATCCTTAATAATTTAGTGATGTGAACATTTATATTTGATAGTATGAATGTTCACATCACGGTAAATTCATACTGTTAACATTAATGCGCTTTACCCTATTATTGTTAGGGATATCTTAGTAATGATGTCACCCATACACATATTGGAATATAAAAAAATAATTTAGACTAAATATAAATAGATAAAAAAAGAATTTATGAATAAATACCTCAATTTTATTCAACATTATTTAAATTTATTTTATGCATGGACCTAAAAAACACCTCTTGGATCTCCATTACAGGTTTGAAATATGGACAAATTTCTTATTATTTTTTTGGACAGTAGCTTTAGTGGTTCTGGACCTCCTTAAACTTAATCTTAAGATATACAAGTACTAGTGTATGCCACGAGATTAAAATATAATTAAAAATAAAATTATTAAATTAAAATGTAATTTATTAAATTCATTGCTAAAAATTTGAGGTCAAAATATAAATACAGATCTAGTTTTGGCTTTTAAATTAATTTTGTAAAATTATTCGGATAAAAGTGCACCCAATAAAATTAAAGTAAAAACTGTAAAAAGTAATTTATTGTAAGAATATGTCTTGTGGCCTTTGTCACTAAGGTGGGTAAAAAAGTTCTGTTAAAAAAAAAAAAAAAATTCTTTTTTTATTCTTTAAACAAATCACACCACTGTCATTATCTTTCTTCTCTCTCTCATTGCCTTGTGAGAAGATTACATTTTAACAGAATTCAATTTAAATTTGTCTAACCAAAAAAAAAAAAAAAAATCCAAAAAAACTGCATTTTCCACCTAACCACTTTTTATTTTTATTTTTTTTGAAAATGATTTAACATAAAAT